TACTGACACCCCCCCACACTGGGAGGCCCAGGACTGCGGCAACGGCCTACATGTGCATACACCGGGAATCGAACCCGAGACCGCTCTGATACCATGTTAAGAGAGTGATGAGAACAAGGAGCCATAGCTAGGTAAGCCCTAGCTAGGCAAGAGAAGTTTAGGCAAAAAGAGAGAGAGGTTCACTAGCAGCAATGAGGATACATATAGCAAACCCTAGATGGGTTGTACTCGCTATAGAGCACCCCACTACAGGCTAGAGAATAACATTCTGACATTCGCATGTGCATCGACTACAGAGCACTGAACAGGGTAACAGTCAAGTCGCGGTACCCCATTCCCCGCGCCGACGAACTGATCGACCAACTGCGAACAACACGGGTTTTTTCGAAAATAGATTTACGGGGAGGTTACCATCAAATTAGGGTCGAACCATCGGACTGCGCCAAAACAGCTTTCAGGACTAGGTACGGGTCGTTCGAGTACACTGTGATGCCATTCGGGCTGACCAACGCACCGGCGACTTTTCAGATGACCATGAACGAGGCATTTAGGCCGCTCTTAGATAATTGCGTGATCGTGTACCTCGACGACATCCTAGTTTACAGTCGGGATAAGCAGCAGCACTTAGCAGATCTGGAAGCAGTATTTAAGGTTTTAGACGAGCACAGATTATTGACCAAAGGTTCCAAGTGTGAGTTCTTCCAGGATAGGTTAGAATTTTTGGGGCACGTTATTTCGGAGGCTGGAGTTGAAATCGACCCAAAAAAGCTAGATACGGTAAAAGCATGGCATCCCCCGACGAACATCACGGAACTGCAGAGCTTTTTAGGGTTCGTTAATTATGTGCGTCGGTTCGTCCCCGATATGGCACGGTTAACTGCCCCACTGACGGATTTACTGCGGAAGGGGGTCGCTTTTACGTGGGGGGAGAAAGAGCATGCTGCCTTCTCTGCCCTGAAAAATGTTCTCTGTTCACCGCCCGTCCTGCGCATCGCCGACCCACACCGCCCATTCGAAGTAGTTACCGACGCAAGCGATATCGCCATCGGAGCCGTACTGCTACAAGATTTCGGCAATGGCCTACAGCCTATCGCATACGAGTCACGAAAACTGCATCCGCCCGAGAAAAATTACCCCGATACACGACCGCGAAATGCTTGCGATCGTGCACGCGTTCAAAGTATGGCGCTGTTACTTGACTGGCGCGGACGTGACAGTACGAACAGACCATAAATCACTACAGTACCTTCGCGCACAGCCACACCTCAACCCACGACAGATTCGCTGGCTCGATTTCCTCGAGTCCAACTTTCACTACACGGTCACTTACAAAAAGGGAGCCTCGAACATCGCCGACGCACTGACCCGCCCCACTGCCCAGATCCACGCAATACTACTCGCCCAGACAAGCCCGCGACTGACAGGCCTATTCACCCACGGGTACCAAACGGATCCATTCTTCACAGGAGGAAATTCGCAGCAGCAAAGGGAGTCTATTACGTAAAAACCGGGACTGACCGCATTTGGGTGCCTGGGTATACACTGCTACGGGAATTACTGTTACAGGAGGCACACGACGGAGTTACCTCGGGGCATTTCGGAGTAGAAAAAACACGGCAGCAGCTGCAGCGGTATTATTACTGGCCCGAAATGTTGACTGACGTACAGCGACACGTGGCATCGTGTCCCACTTGTCAGCTCATGAAATCATCACGACAGCGGCCTGTCAGAATGTTATTCTCTAGCCTGTAGTGGGGTGCTCTATAGCGAGTACAACCCATCTAGGGTTTGCTATATGTATCCTCATTGCTGCTAGTGAACTCCTCTTCTTTTGCCTAAACTGTTTCTTGCCTAGCTAGGACTCTCCTAGCTATGGCTCCTGATCCTAACTCTACACACTATCTTCACATGGAATCAGAGCACATACGCTCCTGGCCTGTGGGCCCTCCTACTGCTTCCGCTGCCCTACGCTGTGTCGCGCGCCCCGTGGTGCGCGGCCTCTTATTTTTCATCCCGCCGCGCGCTCGGGGCGCGCGGCGGTTTTCTGCCCGCCGTGCGCCCCGAGGCGCGCGGCGGTTTACTGCTGTGGGGGAGCCAGCGCGCGCCCCACCCGTCCGTCGCGGAGCCCTGGGGAGCACGCGCGGCCCCCCACCCTGCCCGTCGCGGCGCGCTGGGGAGCCCGCGAGCCCCCCGTCCGTCCGTCCGTCGCGACGCCCTCGGGAGCTCGCGAGCGCCCCGCCCGTCGGTCGCGACGCACTGGGGAGCCAGCGGGCGCCCTGCGTGGTCGTCGCGACGTCCTGGGGAGGCCGCGCGCGCCCCGTCAGCTCGTCGCGGCGCCCTCGGGAGGCCGCGCGCGCCCCGCCAGGCCGTCGCGGCGCCCTGGGGAGCCGCGCGCGCGTCCCCCCCGCCCGTCCGTCGCGGCGCCCAGGGGAGCAGCGCGCGCCACGCCCCTTCCCTCGCCCCACCCGTCCGTTCTGGCGCCCTAGAGGCGCGCGCCTTCCCCCCCCTCTCCGTCCCCCGCGCTCCTGCCCCTATCCCACCCGTTTTAGGGTTTGGGGGTGAGGAGTGTGGGGGTGGTGGTTGTGGGGGTGTCCGTTGTGCGCGCCGTGCCCTTCTCCTCCTCCTCCTTTGTCTCCCACTGCTGCAGCTGTCGCTGAGGGGGGTGGATGAGTGGGAGACTGGGGTTTAGGGTTTTAGGGGGGTGCGTGGGAGTGGAGCTAGGGTTTGAGCAGTGGGTGTGTGTCGAGGGTGTGGGGCAGTTGGAGGAGGTTGTGTGGAGGTACCTGTCGTGTCGCCTGCAGCGCCTGTAGTCCGTCGCCCTTGCTTCGGTAGCTAGTGAGCCTGCTGCACCAGTCGCCAGTGGGTCCGTTGCTCCTGCCGCTCTTCTATAGCCGCCGAGCCAGTTACTCCAGTAGTCCGTCGCCCTTGCTTCGGTAGCCTCTGAGTCAGCCGCTCCTGTGCCCGTGCCTCTGCAGCTTCAGTCGTTGCCTCCCATCTTCTCTACCTCCACAGCTCCTCCTCCTCCTCACTTGCCCGCTGTGATTAGCTCTAGCTTTGCTTACCTTTGTGAACTCCTGCTCTATACCTGCTTGCTCATTGTACTGATTACACCCCACTTTGGCTATGGGGGTGTGTCCGAATGTTATTCTCTAGCCTGTAGTGGGGTGCTCTATAGCGAGTACAACCCATCTAGGGTTTGCTATATGTATCCTCATTGCTGCTAGTGAACTCCTCTTCTTTTGCCTAAACTGTTTCTTGCCTAGCTAGGACTCTCCTAGCTATGGCTCCTGATCCTAACTCTGCCTACTATCTTCACACGGCCGGCGGGACAGTTACAGCCGATACCACCCCCAGAGCGTGCTTGGCAGCAGGTGACGATGGACTTCGTCACGGGGTTACCAGCCGGGGCGAGTGGGAACGACTCGATCCTGGTCGTCGTCGATCGACTGACGAAAATGGCACATTTCGCAGCCTGCAAAAAATCAATCACAGCCGAAGAAACAGCACGCCTCTTCATCTCCACCGTCGTCCGACTGCACGGGATACCAGCCGCGATCATCAGCGACCGCGATACGAAATTCACCAGCAACTTCTGGCGGAACCTGTGGCAGCAGTTCGGCACGCGACTGCAGTTCAGTTCATCATACCACCCCGAAACCGACGGACAGACAGAACGGAAAAATCAGACCATGGAACAGCTCATCAGGGCCACGTGTGACGACCCGACCACGTGGGAACAGCAACTGCCACTAATCGAATTCGCGTACAACAACTCGCCATCCGCCACGACCCAACAGTCACCATTTTACCTAAACTACGGACAAGACCCGACAGTGCCCATGACCCCGAATCCCGACAACCCAGTACCACGAGCACAACAGTTCGCCGAAATATTACAAGCAGCACGGACCCGGGCAGTAGACGCAATAAAAAAATCAAACATCATCGCTAAACGCAACGCCGACCGCCACCGCAGACCTGTCACTTACCAGTCCGACGACTTAGTTTTACTTGACACTCAGAACCTCCGACTGCCCATCACCCCGAAACTCCGCCCCCGATACTGCGGGCCATTTCGCATAAGCCACATGCTTACACCCGTCACCGCCCACCTCCTCCTCCCTGCTGACTGGTACGTCAGCCCCTCATTCCACGTCAGCCTACTTCGCCCTTACGTCCCGTCCACGACGTCGCCACCCCCACGGTCACCTATATCACCGTGGCGAACAACGAGCGCCTGCACGCAAACGCGGAAGGGATTGTCGTCCTCAAAGCGCGCAGAAGCAACACACACATCACGCTGAATGATGTGCTCATCGTGCTGAACCTACAATTCAACCTTCTCTCGGCGTCGCAGCTGACAGATTGCGGCGTGCAACTCAGCACTGACCCGGAAACGCGTGACGTCGTTTTGCATTACGCGCCGCCTGACAAACCGCGCAAGTTACTCGGATGAGCACGCGTCGAGAACGGCATGTATGTCCTGGATTTCGACATCCCAGACTGCATCGGCGACACGGATGAGTCAATCGACCTCATCCCGCTCCGCTTCGAGCACATCCACCGCTCCGAGTGGAAGCATCCTGACGGCAGGCCCTAGGTGCCGCATCACCCGCATGCGCGCGAGACGGCACTACACGACCCCGACCCTGACGGCATCTGCAGGGACTGCCGCACACCGACCGCTTCGACCAATGCCAACGTCGCCGTCAGAGGTCTCGCCGCGATCGCCGAACCTGAGCAATACGTGCCGCCGGACTAAGGTATGTCAACGCTGGAGCTTGAAGTCACAACGCGCCACGTTTTTTGCACACCAAACGAGCCCCGCCCAGGAACCGCAACAGGCCGACTTCAAGGGATCTTACGGGGACGAAGGCGCGGAACCTTTGACGCGCGTCACCAAGGAAGCATTTCTGGAACTATACCCCCACAGGCGGGATCTGACGAAGACGCTCACCGTCGAAGAAGAAGACGAGCTGGCGCGCCGCGAAGCTGAGGAGCTATGTCACAAAAGCATCGCCGAAGCGCACGGAACATTCGCCTACAGCGCATGGGGCTAAGCGAGCGAAGAAGGCGCCTCCAATGAAGGGGGGTGGGGAGGCAACGACGGCTGGGGAACCAGCATCGGCGGTACCTGGGCAACACCGAAGGCACCTGGGCAACCGCATACGGGAATTGGGGCACCGTATCTGGCGGCATTGGCGGCGGATGGGGAGGCTCAGGTGGAGGCTGGGGTGCGTCCCAAGAAGAAGGGGGGAAACTGATGAAAAAATCGAACCGCCAATTGTTCCTCTCGGCCGCCCCCCGCGTATTCCCGCACCACCGCCACTTCCCGCGGACATCCCGCTGTCAAGCGATCCTTGGTCAACGAACCATCGACCCCGCACCGCACCGTCTACGGGCCCGATCTCGAGCCGCGCGAACCTACGCTCGTCCCCGGCACAATTCCCGGAACCAACATCCCACTCTCTGTCATTCCCGACAGATAATTTCTCGCGTTGATGCCAACGATGGCGAACGACGAAGCAGTAGAAGAAGAAGCGCCAGAAGCGCCTACCCCCGTACCTGAAGAAGACCTTGACGAGGTGCGCGCGCTATATCAGCGCACCTCCGAACTCCGCGCACCTGATGACCTATGATGGCACCAGCGCCTAGGTAACCCCTCGCGCCAATCACTTAACAACTGTCTCACTGCCGAAGTCTTCGCGCCTGGCGCGATCTTACACCCTGATGGCTCCTAGATAAAAGGATGCTTCGCAACCCCCAAAAAAAACCTCTGCTTAGAATTCCTGCACTTGTACCACATATTAACTAGAATTGAATACCGGTAATAAGGAGAAATACAAGCATTTTATGGTTCTATGAAAGTACCTAATCAGTGATGTTTACAAAGGCGTTGTTTGCCTTATCGAATCGTACGATTTTTCAGTATGGTTATGGAACTTTAAAGTGACAGGATACGCGGCATAAGTGGTGGTACTGATGCTGTTCCGAATCAGCCTTTCATGTGTGACTGTCAAATGCCCAAAGACCATGCTGTGAAGGACTCACTCACTCCCAGGGGGGCAGTGGCTGTGACTCATCCCCACTCGTCCCAGAGGCGCCGCCCAGGTGCCGAAGCGTTGAGACGTCTCAAAACAAGGCCCCACCCACCCTGCTGCCACCTATGAGTGCATCACTCCATCCCGGGAGGGCGTGGCTGCGACTCATTCCCGTTCGTTCCGAGTGGACCAACAACACCTGGTTGAGGCATCATAGGCTGCATGGGTTGCATGGGTTGCGTGGGCCAGTGCTGCTGCTGGCTGGTTTGCGCATGGAAGGCTGCTGGGCCATTGTTGCCTGTCCATGCTGCTTGCTGCTGCTGTGGTTGTTGCTGTTGCTGCTGCCACTGCTGTTGCTGCTGCTGCTGCTGCTGGTACTGCACTTGGTGTGGCTGTTGTTGCTGGTATGGCTGCTGCTGCTGTTGCTGGTATTGCACCGGTTGTGGTTGTTGCTGCTGATACGGCTGCTGCCACTGCTGCTGTTGGTGAACGGCTGGTGGTTGCTGAAAGCCCTGCTGGTACTGCCCCTGGGGTTGCTGAAACGGGGGCTGCTGCTGTAGCTGCTGCTGTTGTTGATGCTGAAACAGAGGGGTGTGTGAACCGGGACCCAGTTGTAGGGGCTGCTGAAACGTAGGGGGCTGCTGTTGATACCCGACACCTGGCTGTTGCATCGGTTGCTGCATGGGTTGCTGCATGGGTTGCTGCATGGGTTGCTGCATCTGCGGAGGCATCTGCTGCTGCATGGGCATTTGAGGGCGAGGCATGAAAGGAGGCGGGGGACCAGCCATGAACGGCGGAGGGGCCACACCCATGGGGGAAGATGCGGGCGGTTGATGCGGGGAATACGAGGGCATGGGGGAAGGCAGGTTCATCATCATTGGAGAAGCCCCTCTGCCAGCCTGCTGGGGGAAGGCCCCACTGCCCTGCTGCCACTGCTGGTTGCTGCCCTCCCACCCTCTGCCTTGCCCACTTCCTTGCCCCTGCCATCCGCTCCCTCCTCTCCCTCCTTCACCTTTCCCCCTCTCCCCTCTCCCTCTGTCGCCCCTCCCTCTCCCTCCTCTCCCTTTTCCTCCTCTTCCCCCCTCGAACCCACCTGGTCCATCCCACCCGCCTCCCCTTCCCCCTCCCCATCCTTCTCCCCTCCCTCTTCCCCTCCCGCCATCTCCATCCCAACCCCCCCTTCCCCTCCCCCTCCCTCGCCCTCGCTCTCCCCTTCCTCGTCTCCCTCGCCCTCCCTCCTCCCCGCCCTTCCTCTTGCTCCTCCGCTGCTCCCTCCTCCACTCCTCCTCCTTCTCATCATCACTAAACATCGCTTCTGCATCCCCTCCTTCCCATCCCACACCTCCTTCTCCTCCTCTCCCTCCTCCCCTCCCTACTCCCTTCCCTCTCCCTCCCTTCTCCACCCCACCCTCCCCCTCTTCCTCCTCACTCCCCTCCTCCTCCTCATCCTCCCCCACATCATACCCCTTAGCCCTCAATGCAGCATCATCCAACACGTACCCTGCCATCCTCTCTATAAAGCTCACCGCTACACCCACAGTCGCCAGCGCAGGCACCTCTTCTCTCGTGTTAAACCGCACGCGATACAGCGGCGCTTTCACCGGCCCGAAGATCTCATCCACAACACCCAGCAGGCACCGGTGCTCAGATAGGAAAAGTATGGATCCCTCCTCTAGAGCGCGGGCAGAGGGGTCGGCTTGAACCACCACTGATGTCTCAACGATCTGTGCGGCACAAAACAGGGGTCACATGTGGGAAGAGTAAGGAGCTGCAAATGAATCGATACAAGAACCGAAAATCTCATCCACTACTCCCAACAGGCAGCGGTGGTCTGACAGGAAGAGCAGAGATCCCTCCTCTAGAGCACGAGCAGAGGGGTCTGCTTGAACCCCCACTGACGTTTGAACCATCTGTGGAACAAACAGGGGTAAGGAATCTACAAAAGGACCAAAAATCTCATCCACTACTCCCAACAGGCAGCGATGGTCTGACAGGAAGAGCAGAGATCCCTCCTCTAGCGCGCGGGCAGAGGGGTCAGCTTGAACCCCCACTGATGTCTCTACAATCTGTGGTAGCAGCAGGGGTTACAGACGTGAGGTTGATACATGAACAACAAGGGCTGAAAAGCTCATCCACAACCCACAAGAGACAGCGGTGGTCGGACCAGGAGGAGTGGAGCAAGAGATGAGGGGCCAGATAACATGTGTGAAAAGGGGGGGGGATAACATGTGGGAGAAAAGTGGGACTCGTTGCATGCAATAACGAAGCAACGTCTCTGGATCTTCTTTTGTTGCAAGCCACATTAGATTAACTGAATCGCCTCTCAAGTGCTTTGGGTAGCCTCAAACCTCACCAGTTTTGACAATCCTTTTGAGGAGTTTTAAACAAATGTCTCCAGCAACTACTGAAGCTTCAGATCATTCTTTTAGAATTCTCAAACTAATGGACGAAAGTGAGGCAAGCCTTGAGGATAAAAGGAAAAGAAAGAAAGACAGAAAAAAGTCTACCATCCCTTCGGAATAAAGTGATACAAGATTTGACCACCTACTGGAGATTCAATCATCTTACTTCACCCATTTGTGTATGCTTTGCTTGCAGTGATACTTGGTCCGGTGGCTGGCCCAGCAGCAAAACTCAATAAAAATCAGTCGTACTGTGTACTGCTACGGATCGTACCATGAGCTTCACCAATGACACGTGCCACACCTCACCAATGACACGTGCCACACCTCATCACTGACACGTGGCACAGACTTACAGCTGACACGTGGCCCAAAGGCAGGAGCTCGTCCGAGTCTTCCACCTTGACATCGGGAATCGCGACGGGTGGCAGGCCCTGTTGTGGGAGGCATGAATGGTGGGGAATGGGGCAGATGATGCAGGCAGCATGGATTGGCAGATCCAGGAATACATATGTAGCCAATCCATATTGGCTCACTAGAAGTTGAAGCTAGACGTTGGGAACTGCGATGGGTGGGAGGCCCTATTATGGGAGGCATGAATGGTGGGGAATGGGGCAGAGTAGCGGGAGAGGTGGGAAGGGAGAGGTAGAGGGGAACGCGGCCCAGAGGCAAAAGCTCATCCGAATCCTCCACCTTGACGTTGGGAATTGCGACAGGTGGGACCGTGGGAGGCCCTGTGATGCACACATGTCGGAAACAGGGCAGGCGAGCGGGAGAGGTGGGGAGGGAGAGGTGGAGGGAAAGGTGGGAGGAAGAGGTGGTGGAGGTGGGAGGGTGGGGAATGGGGCAGAGGCAGGGATTGGCAGATCGGAGCGCAAGCATAGTGAATTTCTGGAAGTCGAACGTCCGCGTTGTGAATTGCAACAGGTGGGAGGCCCTGGGAGGCATGAACAGTGGGGAATGGGGCAGACGAGCAGGAGTGGTGGGGAGAGAGAGGTGGGAAGCGGAGGTGGGAGGGGAGGTGGGAGGGAAGGAGGGGAGGGAAGGGAGTTGGAGGGGGAGGAGGAGTTGGTCGGAGGAAGAGATGGGAGAAAGAGGTGGGAGCCAAGGGTGGGGAATGGGGCAGACGAGCGGGAGAGGTGGGAGGGAGAGAGGAGGGAGAGAGGGGGGCGGGAGAGAGAAGGGATGGATAGAGGAGGTGGGGAAAGGGAGAGGGGGAGAGGGGAGAGAGGGAGAGACGACGGAGGAAGAGATGAAGGAGGGAGAGAAGAAGAGCAAGAGACGTGGGAGGGAGAGAGAAGAAGGATGGGAGGGAGAGAGGCAGGAGGGAGAGAGGAGGGGGTGAGGAGGGAGGGGGGGAGGGAGGGAGGGAAAGAGCTGGGAGGGAGAGGGGTGGGAGGGAGAAAAGAGATAGCAAGAGAGGAGCGCGGGCAAGAGGTGATGAACCAGAAACCCTAGCCCTTAAAGCCACTCACCGGCTCCCCCATGTCTCCCACGTGCCCCTCGAGCCTCTCCAGCTCCTCCTCCTCTTCCTCTATCAGTATGTCACTGCGTAATTCTTCCTCTTCCTCCTCCCCCTCCTTCTCCTCCTCTGCTTCATCCGCGTCCTCTGCTGTTTCTTCCTCTTCCTCCTCACTCTCCTCCTCCTCCTCCTCCTCCTCCTCCTCCTCCTCCTCCTCCTCCTCCTCCTCCTCCTCCTCACTCTCCTCCTCTTCTCCACTCTCCTCTTCCTCACTCTCCTCCTCTTCCTCACTCTCCTCCTCCTCCTCGTTTTTCTCCTGCATCACCACCCCACCCTCTTCCACATCTTTCCCCTTCACGTCATCCTTTTCTTCTTCTCCGCCCATCATCTCCTCCTCCTTCCCGTTAAACCCTTCATGATCCATGTCTCTAGCCTCCTCCTTCCCATCTTCCTTAAAGCCCGCCTCTCCTGCCCTAAAATCTAGCCCTCCTGCCTTCACCCTACCCTCCTCCTCCTCCAACACCCCCGACTTCCCCTCCTCCCCAGTCTCTTTCTCCTTCGCCTCGCCATCCGTTCCCCTTACCCCATCTTCCTCCTCCTTAATCACTCCCTCCCTTCCCTTTTCCTCCGCACGGCTCACTCCCTTTGCGTCGCTACCCTCCGCGCTCTTTCCTTTAACCTCCGCGCTCTCCTTACACGCACTCTTTTCCCTCACTTCGATACTGTCACGCGCTCCGTTCCCTTCGCTACAATCGCCTGCTTCCCTTTTCTGCGCCGATCCGGAACCGCCCTCAACCGCTTCGCCTACAGTCACATCGCACATTGTTAACTCGGCGGGAGAATCTTGTGTCACAGTAGTTGCGGTTTCACTCGGAGCACCGTTTCGAGAAGCACCTACCCCAGTCGCACCTTCTCCCGTCGCACCTCCCTCCGTCGAAACTCCCCCCGTCGCATCTCCCACAGTCGCACCTTTCCCAGGCACACCACCATCACTTACCACCTCCATGCTCGTAGTCGCACTACGATCTGTCGCTAAAGATACCGTATTTTCAAGTCTATCACAGTTAACGTTAATGAAAAACGCGAATGTCAGTCACAACCGCGGGGACATTCGTCTACGAATAGATGGGGATCATTGGGGAAGGAGTGAGAGGTGGGGGACAAGGTTGAGGGTTTAAACGTTTGACATTTGTGCGCGATCACTTTAGAGCTCACCTCGCAACTGTTGATTGATATTTGTTACGGGTGCAATGAATCGAGGTAGCGAGGATTGCACTAACTGTCAAACGAGTACAACATGTGAGCTGTAAGGAAAATTCCTTTTTGGGTTGTGTAAGGAAAATCTTTTTTTCCTTACTTCGCGTCCCTGCTCAACGCGTACATCACTGTAGCACCACAGTCAGCACCGTTACCACTCGCAATCCTCGCATCGACAATCCGCCCGCCACCTTCGCACGTCGCACCCCGACCTCACGGCTCGGCGGGTAACCCGCGCTCCGGGCCTCCACTTCGACACTTTTCCCAACCTCAGTCCCAGGCCCGTCGCGCGACAACCACAGTCCCTTACCGTTACCACTGTAGTTTCGCTATATATTCTTCGCTCATGCCTTCGCTCATTGTACTCTTGCTTCGATAGTGCAATTCTCGTTCGTTCACTTAATTGCACTCGTAACACTTGGTATTCAGAGCCTACGACCTCTTCTCGGACCGCACCCACACCTTCGCTTCCCCACTATCTCAATTTTTGGGGGGGGTAGACGTCCCTTAGCGACACAGCACCGCCGCTCGTAGTGCTCTCTCGTAAGCACGCACGGCCACGACTGAGGCTCTCGCTGAGCTCGCCCGACACCCCCGCCATGGCCGAATTCACGCTCGCCACATTGACGCAGGAGCAGCTCGACCGTCTGGTGCGCCAACTCGAAGATTCGGCGTTCGAAATTGCGATGCTCACAGCGGAACGTGACTCCGCGCGTCAGCAATCAACGGTGAACACTCCAGCAGCACCACACGCACCAACAAATGCACCTGCACAATCGGACGAGCCAATCGTCATCTCGTCCGAGACACCAACACAACACGACAGCGTGGGACAGCGCTCGGGCGCAGCCAGTGATAGCGCCGCCCAACCAATGCCTGGCATGGGAGGAAACAGGGGCGCGCCAAGCCCGCGGGAGCCTCGCGAAGCCCGTCGGCACGTGGAGTTCGCGGCGACAAGTGGCGAACAGGCCATCATGGCACCAATGCCACTCATGTCAGAACATATGTATAGCTTATGCTGTTGTGTAGGCTATAGTGGGGTATCCCATAGGGGGTACAACCCAATTAGGGTTTCCTATATGTACTCAATTCATTCATAGTTCATTCATTCTTGTTCAAATCTTCTCATGGTATCGAGCAGGTTCCCCCTTGGGAACTGTGCTTAGGGCCCACCACATCGATTTTTTTTCCTGCCCGAAGCGCGCTCAGCCCGAGTCGCGCTCCGGGCCCTCACTTCGTCGAGCCGCCCTAGCTGCCCTTCACTGCGGCCCCGCCACTCGTCTCAGCGGCCCCGCCGCCCGTCTTCGCGGCCCCGCAGCCTCTTTCCTAGCGGCCCCGCCGCCCTACCTAGCGGCCCCGCCGCCCTACCTCGCGGCCTCGCCGCCCTATTGCGCGGCCCCGCCGCCCTACCTAGCGGCCCCGCCGCCCTTACTCGCGGCCTCGCCGCCCCATTGCGCGGCCCCGCCGCCCTACCTCGCGGCCTCGCCGCCCCATCGCGAGGCCCCGCCGCCCTACCTAGCGGCCCCGCCGCCCTACCTCGCGGCCTCGCCGCCCTATTGCGCGGCCCCGCCGCCCTACCTAGCGGCCCCGCCGCCCTTACTCGCGGCCTCGCCGCCCCATTGCGCGGCCCCGCCGCCCTAACTCGCGGCCTCGCCGCCCCATCGCGAGGCCCCGCCGCCCTACCTAGCGGCCCCGCCGCCCTTCCTCGCGGCCCCGCCGCCCCATCGCGCGGCCCCGCCGCCCTATCTAGCGGCCCCGCCGCCCTTCCTCGCGGCCCCGCCGCCCCATCGCGCGGCCCCGCCGCCCTTCCTCGCGGCCCCGCCGCCCCATCAGCGGCCCCGCCGCCCTATCAAGCGGCCCCGCCGCCCTTCTCTGCAGCGGCCCCGCCACTCCTCTACAGCGGCCGAGCCGCCCAGCAGCAGCGCAGCCGAGCCGCCCAGCAGCAGAGCAGCCGAGCCGCCCAGCCGTTGAGCCGCCCTGCAGCCGAGCCGCCCGGGAGCCGAGCCGCCCTGCCGCCGAGCCGCCCTGCCGCCGAGCCGCCCGGGAGCCGAGCCGCCGAACCGCCCTGCCGCCGAGCCGCCCTGCCGTCGAGCCGCCCTGCCGCCGAGCCGCCCGGGAGCCGAGCCGCCCAGCAGCCGAGCCGCCGAGCCGCCCAGCTGCCGGGCCGCCCTACTGCCGAGCCGCCCGACCTGCCCTGCCTGGTGAGCACAGCACCACTGTTACTGCGTGCCCTTCCCCTACTGCTTGCACTACTACACTGTCGTCGTCATGGCTACCCCTAGTGTCCTCGCTTTTGACGCTGAGGGTCGAGCCATTGACTTTGAGGTCTGGGTCGACGACCTGCAGCTGTTCTTACAGTGCGATAGGGCGGACGGTCTTTCCCTCTTTGACCTCACCTCTGGCGCCTCTCCTGCCCCTGCTGCTGATGCTGACCCCACTGTTCGCTCTCAGTGGGCCACCCGCGATGCTGCTGCACGTCTTGCTGTGCGTCGCCACCTGCCTACCACTGAGCGCGCGCACTTTAGTCAGTACAAGAGTGCTCAGACCTTGTACGACGCTGTAGTTGCGCGCTACTCTTCCCCTGCCACTGCTGCCCTGAGCCGCCTCATGCTACCGTACCTCTTTCCTGACCTTGCTGCCTTTCCCACTGTCGCTGACCTCATTACGCACCTCCGCACTAGTGACACTCGCTACCGCGCCGCCCTTCCTGCTGAGTTCTGCGCCAAGAACCCCCCCCCCATGTACATCACTCTCTATTACATAGTCACACGCCTCCCTGACTCCCTTCGCGTAGTCAGGGACCACTTCCTCTCAGTCTGTCCCGCCACTCTCACTGTCGACCTCATCGAGAAGTCCCTCCTTGCGGCGGAGAAGAGCATCGTCGCTGTAGGAGCCTCTCGTGGTGACCCTCGCACCCCCATCTTTGAGGGGTGTTCTCCTTCCCCCCTGCTGCCCTCTGTTGCCTCTGCTGCTGCTGCCGACCTGCTTGGTCTTGAGTCGGTCTGCGCGGCGTCTGCCCCTAGCGGGAGACGCCGCCCTGGCAGGGGCAAGGGGGGCAAGGGCGCGGGTGGAACTGGCGGGGGCGGTGGAGGTGGCGGTGGAGGCGGCGGAGGGAGTGGGGGTGGCGGTGGGAGTGGTGGCGGGGGCGGTGGTGGCGGTGGCAGCAGCGGAGGAGGAGGCGGTGGTGGCGGCAGCGGGGGGAGCGGAGGCAGCGGTGGTGGTGGAGGTGGAGGCGGCGGTGGCGGAGGGGGTGGAGCTGGTCGGGGTGGTGCCCCGCAGCGTAGCGGCTCTGGTGGTGGCCAGCGTCAGCAGCAGCAGCAGCAGCAGCAGCAGCAGCAGCGTTCGCGGGACATCCCCCCGCCCCAGCAGCTCCGTGAGTGGTACACGCAGCGTCAGCGGGGTGGGGGTTTTGGTCCGTGCACCTACGTCCTTCGTTCCGGCGACCGCGCGGGTGAGCAATATGGGGGTGCCCACCCCACCCAGCGCTGCTTTGGCCGCCTGACGGACGCTTGGCGTCAGCAGTTCCCCGAGGCCAGTGAGATTCCCCGTTGGGGAGAGCTGTCTAGGGCTGGCGTAGCTATCTTTGATCTTGACTTTGATGCTATCCTTGCTGCCATGTATGCTGTGACTATTAGTGAGGAGGGTGACTGTTACCGGTGTTTCCCGCCCGACCCGGGCATTGGTACTGCTGCGCCAGGTACTTCTGCGGCTGCTGCTCTAGGTGCCAGTGCGTCTGCACTCTCAGGTACTGGTGAGGCTGTGCTCTCAGGTACTGCGCCGGCTTCGGCCTCCCTCACCTTCACGCTTGACTCAGGGGCTTCTCGCTCCTTCTTTCGAGACCGCACCACACTCACGCCGCTTGGCCGGCCGGTTGCAGTCTCCCTGGCTGACCCCTCTGGGGGTCCTGTCCTCTCTCACTTCTCCACTGTCCTCCCGTGTCCGGCTGCCCCCTCGGGCACCTTGTCTGGTCTGTACCTCCCCTCGTTCTCGACGAACTTGGTGAGTGGTGCTGACCTGCAGGATGCGGGGGTTCACCAGTTTACTCCTGCGAGTCAGCGGGTGACCCACTGCTCGGACGCCCGCACAGGCCGACACCTGGCCACGTTTTTGCGTCGGCCGGGGTCGAGTCTCTACACCCTGACCACTGAGTCTCCTCCTGTCCCTGCGTCTGGCCAGGTAGCTGCGTCGGGTCAGGTGTTTGCTGCTGCGTCCAGGTCTGGTCCTGAGTCTGCCCCCTGCTCGTGTCGCCGCCTGTCTCATGAGACTCTCCTGTGGCACCACCGTCTTGGCCACCCCTCCTTGCCTCGTCTTCGGGGCATGGCTTCCCGTGTCCTTGTCTCTGGTCTTCCCCGGTCTCTCCCTCCCCTTCCTTCGGGACCCGGACCTTCCTGTGTCCCCTGTGTCGAGGGGCGGCTCCGGGCTGCCCCTCACTCCTCCCAGTTTCCCCCGACAGAGGCTCCTCTGCAGACGCTTCACATGGACGTGTGGGGCCCGGCCCGCGTCCGTGGGCAGGGTCACGAGCGCTACTTCCTGCTGGTGGTTGACGACTACTCGCGTTACACCACA